CTCCCTAAAGAAAAAAAAACCCAGCTTTGGGGGGGAGCCAGTAATCTGTGCCACTACATTTTGGTCCCAGCAGGCAGTGCCGCAGGTCTCACAGCCCATGTCTATGACGTCCCTGCCCTGTTAATCCCTTGCGCAGGAGTTGGTGTGAGTGGCTTCAGGAATTCAGTCAAGGTGAGGAGCAGGAGGAAAGAAGTAGGGGGTAGGAGCCAGGACAGGACAAGGCCCCAAGGTGAAGGCTGAGCCCATTGTAGTCCACTATTTAGAGCAGGTTCAGTCATGGCTGTGGACATTGGGGACCCCAAGAGTGGTTTCCGACACTGCGAAGTGGCTGTGTTCATCAATGAAGAAGTGACGAGGAATGGCGGTGGCCCTGGCTTTTACCTGACCTTCCGTTCACGGCCCTGGAAGGATATAGAAGACGGTCTGAGGTCTGTCGTGGCTGATACTCACTTACCGCGCACCATCAAGAGGGCCTGCGCGTGGAGCGCTCTGGCCCTGAGTGTGAGATTGGCTTCGAGGCAACGAGAAAGGCAGACCCGACGTGTCCAGCAGCTGAACAATCAGGTAGAAGAACGAGAGGCAGCCACCTGGACTTTGGCCACAGACCTACAACGGCTGCGTGAGGAGCGTGATGAAGTGGTCTCTGAGCTTCGCAGTGCAAAAGACAACCTGAAGCAAGTGCTACAGGAGCGTGACATTCTACACAAGAAGCTGATTGAGTTTGAGCTCTCACAGAAACTCCTCGCTGAGTCACAAGATACTGAGTATCCAGGTACTCTGCGGTGGCCTCTAATTGCCAAGCAACATAGAAAGCCTCTTGAGACAGGCTTGCAGAATGAGCAATATGCAGTGTTCCCGAAGAAAGCCCAGACGGCATCCATGACAGGTATTTCAAGGTCCCCTAGTCCTTGAGCCTAAGCCCCACAGTCCCCTCTACCAATGCGTTATTGCCAATGGCATCCCCTCTCCCATCCAGAGCACTCTCAGATGGGGAAGGAAGGACTCCATCCACGTTGACTACAGTGGGATCCCTGTGCCAGGGACAAAAACTAATTAAGACACAACTAGAGAAGCTGGGAAGCTTTGGCCCAACACAAGTTCCTCACTGGATTTAGGAGGGGGGGAAATGAACGTAGAGAGAAATCATTTCTTGAGGGCCCTGTCCTAATACATGTAATTTTTTCTTTTATTCACATCATACACCATTTGGAAACTCATCAAGTAAAATTTTTCACTATGCTACGACCACACAATAACCTCTGGGCTCCTTTGTTGGCTGTGTTAGAGCATCTACCCCATTATCTCATGCATGCTGGGGCAGTACTCTACTGCTGAGCTATACCCTTAATCTGCATTCGCCCTCTTTAGCACAGCACATCTATTTGCATATATGGATCTCTTTCTCCAGATTCAATTATACATATGTATGTGCATATATAATTTGTACTGTTTTGAGAAGGATAAAATTCTACTGAATATGTCAATTTACCTTTAAAAGGAAAACATTTCAGTTGCAGGTACGTTTACAGGTGGACAGTAGTTGAGTACTATCCATTTAATTACCAGTCAGAAGAAACGGAGGTTACAAAACATTCTCTTTTCTTTTTCTGTACTCTCCCATGCATAACACCAGCTCTTCTGCAGGCACAGCTATGCTTTTTAAAACATAAGATGCAGAGTGCTCCAGGTACATTGTTTTTTCTTTGAGAATGCTATTCTTTGAGAATGCTATTGCTGTTTCTTTCCTTTGTTTTTATAACATTCATGGGCGCTCTTCTTTGTGTCTCTAAGTTCTAGAAACTTTGAGTGAAGCTGAAGAATTCCCAGCTTCCGACATGTGAATCTTCATGAAAGGCCCAGCAGCAGCAGCCTGTACCTCAGTAAGACCTCAGCTACCTGCTGCTACAAACAACATGAGGAACTGAGGAGAAGAAAACATCTGGGTGTATTTTGTAGAAAAAAAAAACCATACAGATTTTGTTAGAACTTAATCCACTGACATTGCAGAGTTCAAAGGGAAAAATGGGGCAATGTAAAATTTTAGAGGATGTCACAAGTTTGTTGAATTTCATTCATTAGTCCATTGAATGGTTACTGATAAATTGGAGTGTGTAGAAACTACAATTACAATACTGGTATACACATTATAATCCCTTTGGGTAAGGTTGGTAGGTGACAGTAGACTACAAAATTTCAGACACGGTGTGCATCACGGTGTCCTTTGTCCTGTGTGAAATATAACCTTTGGAGAAACTCTATTGAAAGAATGTCAAGATCCATTTCTGTAAGTCGGGGGGGGGGGAAATCATTTAGAGACTTATTTGGGCAACATCGACAGACAAAATAGTCTTGTTAACATTTAATTTCTGTCTTTATCAAGGGATTAATTTGATAATTAAGGAACTTTTTGTTTTAATTTTTCGAGACAGGGTTTCTCTATATAGTCTTGACTGTCCTGGAACTCACTGGTCTCGAAATCACAGAGATCTGCCTGCTCCTGCCTCCTGAGTGCCAGGATTAAAGGCATGACCACCACCGCCCATCTGATAATTAAGGAAGAATTTAAAGAGATAAATTTTGTGTAATTCATAAGACAAAGTTATTGATTGTTTGGGGTTTGCTATGAGTCGGAACTATATTGGATATTGACTGGTTAGTTTAGCAAAGAAGGAGCATAATTTGGGACTCAAATGAGATCGGAACTGTCTTCTCTTTCTTGCATATAATGTGGTCCTGGGTAAAGCCAATAGAAAGAATAGTTAGGTCCATTTTTTCAGTCAGTTTGGGGGGGGGGCAACATGAAAGAGTTCCTCATGGATGGATTTGAGTGGGCAAACTCTTCCCCTTCTTAGTCTCAAGTTTGACAAGGCAAAGACCAGGGAGGTGGCCTCATGAAAATGCAGGCAGAGCTTTCCTGGCCCTCCAGTCATTTCCTCCCTGGAGGTCATAGGTGTTTTCCTGGCTTCTCACCAGCCTACCTGGAAGATCACTAGGTTGTCTTGAAGTATTTAGGGGAGTGTTGGCTACACTCTCCAGCCCTCAACCCTGAACTGTCCCCATCCCAAGTCCCTCTCCAGTCAGAAGCGATGAAGATCAGGGCTACCACAGCACTCTGTATGGGTGGTGCTTCCTTGGGAGGACTAATTGGGTTTTAACTAGAACTGATGTGGAGGAAGGGACTCTTCCCAGTCTCCTCTTCCACTAGGTATAGGAGTTGCAGGCTTTCAGTATTCCCCTAGGTCAGTGGCAGCAAGGCATGGAGGAGCCATGGTGGAGCTGGGCCTGGTAGGTTAGGTAGAGCCACCTTCAGTCTGAACTACAAGTGTCCCTGAGGTCCCTGAAGACCGTGCACTAACCGGGATCTACTTTGTGAGAGTTTTTCTGGTGTTAATTGGTAATGGAGTGTGCACTGGCCTGGTGTGTGTTCTGTGGAGTTCGTATTTCAGAGATTTGCTCACTTTCCTTCCATCCCAACGGAGTAAAGTGAAGTTCAACCTGACTCCCTGGTGGAATGGTGGTCCTGCAGTGATGATTACCAAGCATTGGAGGCACCTCTGCGGGTGGGGCCTTCAATCTGGAGTAATTTTCCCTAATGCACTCATTATCTGAGTCTGCTTGGGCCCCTGAAAGTGGGCATATCTGCAGTTCCTTAGCTAGGAGAGCGAGGTGAGTATCTCTCCCTGACATGTGGGGTCCTGTCCCGCGCACGCTGTATTTTCTCGGCCGGCAAGAAATACACGCAGGACACTCGGATCCTTCTGCAGACAAGCTTTAATGCATAAGCTTACCAGAGCGGAGACTGAGCGGAGACTCGGAACCAAGAAAACCATCCCTTATAAAGGCTGGCCAGCCGCCTGGGACGTGTTACCCTATGAATGGCTTCAGCTCCTCAGGCCAAATGAGCCACGGGATAGGCAGAGATCAAAGGAATGGAGATTACCCAGCGCCTGTGAAGTAATTTACATCTTGGTGTCTTCAGGCACCATTATTGTAATGGATAATGCAGGAACCGGCTCCCTACAGGGTCCAACCTCTCTTTGTGGAACAATGTTATTTTTCGGAGGCTCTCCACAGTTCCCTAATATGTTATAAGCAGAAATCTCTCTTGCTTTTCTGCCCCCTGAAGCTTTGTCCCCATACTCCCATTCACAATTGCTTTCTCTTTTTCTTTCCTTTTTCTTTTTTCCTTCCTTCCCTCTTTCTTTATTCCTTCCTTTCTTTTTTCTTCCTTCCCTTCTTTCTTTCTGTCTTTTTCTTTCTGTCTTTTTTCCTTCCATCTTTCCTTCCCCCCCTCCCCCCTCTCTCCTTCCTCCACTCACTCTCTCCTCTCCCATCCATCCGTCTGTCCATCTGTCTGTCTTGTGTATCTTACACTGGTCTTGAACTCACTAGCTAACTGATGATCTTGTACATCCTCTTGCCTCTACCTCCTGAGTGCTGGCACTATGCGTGTGGCCCTCCCTCCACTCCTGGGTTTACATGAAGCTGAGGAATGCCATCCAGAGCCTTGTGCATGTTAGGTTCCAACTGAACTACATCCTCAGCCCCTCTCGTACACATAATCTTACCAAAATGCTGATTCTGGAAAGCAGCCAGGCCACAGACTAGTCACAAGATAAATATTCCATAAAGCTTAGCAAGGGTATAGGCTGACTACCTGCTTGGTATTGGGATAGGAAAGGGGGCAAATGACAAAGTGACCCTGCCTCCATGGCATTCTCATCCCTCAGATTTGTGATTACTTACAGAGACTGGAGTGATCGAGAGGAAGGAGTCTACAAGGGATGTTGGCCCCAAAGCTAGACTATCTGGATTGGGGCACGTTTTATGATATTCTTGTGTGCTATCATAGCCCTTTGGAATATGGGAAAGACAGGACACAAATGAGACTTGGGAGTACTGTGGTCTGTTTTAGTGTGGACCAATAGTGTAAAGATTACTGGGTAGTTTATTAGTTGTAAATTTTCAAGTACTACTTCATACATGTTGACTCCAAACATTCTGGAAGTGACACCTAGCAGGCATTATAGATGCATGCCTAAATTTGATGTTTGTCTTAATTCACAGCATAATGTGGACAAATTGTCCTAGATCACATTACAGCTGGTTCATCTAGACAGACCTTTTCATTTATACTCCAAGGTCCACCAAAATATCTGTAGGTCTCTGTGTGTACTGTTTAATAGACTAATGTAATTACATAATGTTACAGGGATTTTTTTTCACATCAAGTTGCCAGAATCTTTGACTAGATACATTTACAATGACTCCCAATTCCCTCTTCATCCTAGTCTGGACACATGAAGAAAAAGGCAGTAAAGAGTTTTGCTGGAGGGGGCTAAACTATGAAGCCAAAGAATTGTGCTCAAAACACTGCTCTGCTCTGCAACCTCAAACATGTACTGAATATTCCAAGGCCCCTCAAGTGTTGGCTCCTCTATCTACCATCTGGGTTGTTCTCTGTAATGATGTGGTAATGGTCAGAGGAATATCAACTAAGGACCTAGACATATCATTGAATGCTTAGTATTTGAGACCTTATGGCTGTTATGCTGTTGGTGCTGCTAAGGTTTGAATGTTGTTTATCCATCTCTGAAAGGTTTATGTGTTGAAAGCTTTGTTCCCCAGGATGAGAAATGTTGGGAGCCTTCAGTAGCAAGTCAGAGTGAGAGGTCCTTAACCTATCGGGAGCACACTACCAGAAGGGAACATTCTTCTCCTGGAGTGAATTCTGAGAACACATGGGAAAAACATGAGTGTGAGTCCTGTTTCAACATATAATTTCTACCTCAATCACTTTCCCTGCCAGGTGATGAAGTCAATCATGCCCATAATAGAGTAGAACACATGCTATTGGCATACTTTTGAATCTCTGAAAATGAGAGATAAATAAACCTATTTTATTTTTCTGCAAGCTTTTCATTTATTTGTGAGAGAAATATAGCCTTTTTCCTCCCACTGAACCCTCCCATATACCCCTCTATACTTTCTTCCAAATACATGTCCTCTTGTTTTATTAATGGTTGTTAGATACATATACACATATGGATATATACATATATTTCTAAATATAACCCTGGTCAGACTGTATAATGTTACTCCAATGATAGTTTTAGAACCAATCATTTGGTACCAATTAGTAGGCTCTTCCCTGGGAAAGACTACTTCTACCACTACCAGTATTCTTTAGTTTTCTGTAGTTCTTTGTGTAGGGTTGTGGCCTCTTGGGCTTTATTCCCATCTACTTTGACATGTCTATGCTGGAGGAGGCTGGGCTTGTTCATATCATGTTTAGGCAGTCATGTTGGTGAGACTTGATGGGTGTAGATTCCTCCAGGGGAAGCCTTTCAGTTTCAGGAGGTCCCATTTATTGATTGTTGCTCTCAGAGTCCGTGCTGCTGATGTTATATTTAAGAAGTGGTCACCTCATACATGGTCCCCTGGAGAAGGGAAAAGGGTCAAGATCCCCTGAGCAAATTGAAAGCATGGGAAGAGGTATGAGAATGAGAAGGGAAAAAGAGGAAGGATGCAGAGGTCATGAGGGAGCAGAAAGGTTGAGACAGGGGAAGAATAGAAGAAAGGATATGTGATAGGTAGGGTTTTAGTTGGGGGGGGTGGTAGGGAGAATGGGAGGGAGAAGGGAACTGGGATTGTCATGTAAAACAATCTTGTTTCTAATTCAAATAAAAAATGATTAAAATAAAAAAGAAGTGGTCTCCTGTGCCAATGCATCCAAAGCTACTTCCCATTTTCTCTTCTATCAGGTTCAGTGTAACTGAATTTATGTTGAGGTCTTTGATCCACTTGGACTTGAGTTTTGTGTATGGTGATAGATATAGAT